CGCCGCCACTCTCAGCAGGGTGAGGAGGGGCAGGATGCAGGGCCAGGTTCCCCCCTGCCGCCCCGCAACCCTTTCCCCGGCCCCCCCCAGCCCTCTTACCCCAGGCTCTTCCCCGCAGATCCCCAGTGTGGAGAAGCAGCTGAAGGCACTGGATGATGTGTCTGGCTCCAACATCATGGCTGACTTAGAGAAGGTAAGGGATGTCCCCCCCCCACCGTCCCCTCCCCTCCTGGCGCTGATGGGGCTGTGCTGCGAGGGGGCGGCTTGGGAAGAGCCTCAACAGGAGTTAATTGCTGTAACGTGGAGGGATGTGCTGGTTGGAGTTCTGCTTCAGCTGGAGACCACCCGCTGTCTGTGTGGTGGCACGGTCAGGGCTGGGTGCCGGCGGGGAGCCCGGCTGTCCTGTGCCACCGGGATCTGGGGATGGAGGGGATGTGCTGCTCAGCCCTGGGCTGTGAGCAGGGACGCGAGCTGTATGCTGTGCCCTCCCCGGACACAGGTTAACAGCACACTGGACACGACCCCTGCCAAGGTGCAAGAGCAGTGCCAGGACGTGGTGACACGTAAGCAGAGCTTTATGCCCCGTGTGTGCTGAATTCCCCCTCTCCCAGGGCTCTGTATTCCCTTCTCTTCCCATCCCTGCCGGGAGACCTCTCCTGCTGCCACCCCACTGTCCCCATGTGCTATCATGCTGATGCCTTGACCAAAGCCCCTTCCCATCCTCTCCCAGTCCCTGCTGCCCCAGGCTCACCCGCCCCAGTTGTGCAGGACCTGGGTGGCAGTTCACAGCACCAACCTGTCCCCATCCCCTGCAGAGACCCAGGACGAACTGGGCCTCATCAGGCAGGAGATCAGGAGCTTGCAGGAGCAGTTGCCGCTCCGGGATGTGGAGGAGAATGTCGGGGCCATTGTGGGCAATGCCACGTCGGTGCTGGAGCAGTACAGGGAACCGATCATCGACTTGGATGGGCTCAGGTAGGCGAGGGGCTGCTGCATCCCCCTGCTCCCTTGTCTGGAGAGGCTCAGGCTCTCGATCCTCCAGTTGCTGGAGCTGGGAGCTTGCTCAGTGGTGGGGCTGTGGGTGCAGGGTAGTCAGAGCTGTGCCTTGCAGCCCCCATGCCCCTTCTTAGCCAGGGTACCGGGGGGCTTTTTCCTCCTCAAGAAGGCAGCTGGTGGGATGCTGGGCACTGCTCGCCATGCCAGGTCTTGCTGTCTGACTCCTGCCTCTCCTCTTGCCCCAGGTGGAGCATCTGTGTCCTCCTGTGCTGCATGGTGCTACTGGTGGTCCTCTGCAACTTCTTCGGGCTGCTGCTGGGGCCCCTGGGGCTGAAGGAAAGCGCGCTGCCCACGCAGCGCAGCAGCCTCTCCAGTGCCGGCGGGAACTTCTTCATGGCGTGAGGCTCCCTCGGCTGCCGAGGACGCATGTGGGAGCGGTGGGATGGGTGGGCAGGGCTGGGCTGGGGATGCTCAAGCTCCTAAATCATCAAATGACCACGGCTTAATGGCCTGGCCCATGGCAACTCGCCATGCAGATGGTAAAGGCGAGGGTAGAACATGGTGCCGGTGAAAGGCATTCAAGCGGAGCCTGTTCACCCCTTGCCGTCGGGGGCCTGGCAGTGTGTGCGTGGTCCTGCAGCCCCACGGGTGGGTGGTGGCTTGCAAAGCTGGGGGAAACCCCAGGGTACAGCCCAGCTGTGCTCTGGGAGGGTGAAGGCAGAGCGGAGACGTGCTTGTGGGAATGGTGGTGCTTCCCACCGTCGCTGGGGGAGAGAAGGGGTGTGCAGACTCTGGGCTCTGCGAGCTGGAGCTGCTATCATCAACACCAGGGCATGGGGCCTCGGGTGCTGATGGTGTCTCTGTTCTGGCAGAGGGGTCGGCTTCAGCTTCATCTTCTCCTGGCTGCTGATGCTGCTGGTGCTGATCACCTTTGTGCTGGGGGGGAACATCTACATGCTCGTCTGCGAGTCCTGGCGCAGCCAGCAGCTCTTCCAGGTGAGCTCCCTGTGGGGAGACACCCCTGCCCGGAGCCACTGCCACCTTTCTGAGGGCTGCTGGAGGAGCGGAGGCAGCGTTGGCTGGTTTGGGATGCTCTTGCCAGGTGTCCTGCCCTGCACTGTGTCTAGTTTCATCTCTTCCCTTGCTCTCAGCTCCTGGACACCCCTGGCCTGATCCCTGGCTTCAACCTGTCGGAGCTGCTGGGCCAGGAGGGTGGCACAGCAAACTTCTCAGAGATGTACAGGTGGGTCCCAGTTCCAGCACTGTGTCTTTAGGGAGGGGTACAGCTGCTCGGCGCCCTCGGATGCTCCCCAGGATGGGGGCAGCTTGTCCTGGCTGCAGACAGGTACCAATGTGAGGGAAGGAGTGAGGTGTGACTTACCTGCGTGGGTGAGGACACGCTCCTGGGATGGGGTGGCCCTCGCCTGCCCGTTTGCAGACCCGTGCCCCCTTCCTGCAGGCAGTGCCAGCGAGATGCTGCCCTGTGGCAAACACTGCACCTGGACCAGAGTGTGCCCCTGGATGAGCTCTTGAACATCAGCCAGGTGAGCGCTGGGGTGCCATGGTCTGGGGGGCAGAGCTGGGGGCACAAGGCTGGCACTGAGGGGACAGTGAGGAGCTGGTGTCACGCCCCATCACGGCTCTCCTTACTCTGGCAGTACACAGAAGAGATCTCCACAGCCTTCCAGAAGGTGAACATCACCCTGAGCCCCATCTCCCTCCTCAGCCAGAGCCAGAGAGACTTGCTGCTGAACACCAGCCGGGCTGGGCAGCCCCCCGACTTCACCGCCACCCTGGAGCAGGTAGGCTGGGGGCAGCCTGGTGTTGGGATGGGGGTGTCTGTCCAGATGTGTATTGAGGGGGTCCGTTGCCCCCTCCCCTTTGCTGCTGTGGGAGTCCCACCACAGGCTCCCAGGGTGTCACCTGCCATCCATGTCACTCCTTGGGGCAACCAGTCACCTCCTCCACCCAGGAGGCCCTGGCTCCACTCTGCCCTGCAGGGATGGGATACAGCCCCCCCGTGAGCCCCATTCCCCATTCTTATGGCTCTGTCTCCGCTTTTTCCAGCTGGAACAGAACATGACCAAGGGAAGCCTCCTGGATCTGGCCACGAAGCTGGAGCAGCTGGCAGACAAAGCGGTAAGAGACCGTGGCACCCTGGGGCCACGGCCACCCTGTCCCCAAAGCCACTTGCTGCGGGGGCTCCTCTGCAGACCTGCCTGGGTGCTGAGGGGAGGTGAGGCCCTTCACTCTTGCCCAGCGCTTTTCTCCAGCCCGGCCCCCCATCAGGTGGCTGCGGTGGGGCAGGGACCCCATGCCAGGGGACACTGCTGACTGCAGCTCCTCCAGGACGCGAACGTGGCAGAGGAACTGAAGGCTGGTGCTCAAAATCTGAGGGAGCTGGACAAGGAGATGAAGATGAGCTTCTCTGGGCCACTGGTGAGCAATGCCGGGGTGGAGAAGGTCCTGGGGGTGCTGGCTTGGGTTCCCCCAGAGCTCAGAGTCTGGTGGTGGGGTCTCGGCTGAGCCGTGGGGTCTGCGCCTCTCACCTCCCCCTCTCTCCATCCCCAGCAAAGCCTGAAGGAGAACATCCACTCGGTGCAGAGCGGGGCTGACCTGCTCAAGGTAAGCTGCACAAGGGAGGCTCCTGAGCACACCCCAGTCCGGAGCACCCTGCAAAGCACCCTTGAGGTCCTACAGTGGAGATGGTGGGGGCTAGCCTGCAGTCTGGGGGGCTTGTGGCTGCTGTGGGACTCCCCAGGTATACACCATAGGAGCTGCTCATGGGACAGAGGGGAGGGGGCCTACTCCAGGGACCCGGTCAGGCACAGGCTCCCTCCCCCCGGGGCACCACTAGCGTGTGACTGCTGGGGACACTGCAGCTCAGAGACACTGTGCCCCAGGGATTGCTGCCAGGCAGGGTGGGGGAGATGCGGACACCCCACGTCCCCCATCACACTGCTGAGAGCACCTTTCCCCCCAGGCACAGACAGATGTTGCGCTGGACAAAGCCAGCAAAACCCAGGAGTTTCTGGAGAGGGAGATGGCAAACATCATCAAGAACGTAAGTTCGCCTTGCCCTGCTGCTGGGCCTCATGGTGGGAATGTGACTGGACCACCATGCCAAGACCTCCCTCTGTGCAGGGATGCCAAGCAATGTCTGGCTGCTTGTCCTGCCCTGTTGTCTTCCCCAGAGGTTCCCTGTACCCCTGGGTGCCCCCTCCCCTTATGGCACCCCAGGCAAGGGTCCCAGGTGGGACTTGCGGCCCCATTTCTGCTGGGTTGAGGGGGTCTGACAACCTTGATCTTGACATGGAGGGGACATGGGGCATGGAGTGGGCTGGGGGCATCTCCACTCTCTGCTTGCCTGCCCCCAGGAGACATGGGCCTTCCTGGAGGAGCTGTTGGACTTATTTGAGACCTACATCTCCTGGGCCAAGAGCAGGGTGAGTTGAGCCTTCCTCATGGGGTAGAGGGAAAGGCAGGACGAGCTGCAGCGGTTTGAGGACACTGACATCTCCTGTCCACACCATGTCCCCAGCTGACGGAAGATGTGGCACGTTGCAAGCCCATAGCTCAGACCCTGGATAACATGGAGGCCATCACTTGCAACTACATCCTGGACTCTCTGGTGAGTCGGGCAGCGGTGTGTGGGGTCACATGTGTGTGGGGTGGCAATGAGGTCACCTTGTCCCCTTCATGCATAGGATGAGGGGTACCTATCTCTGTCCTGAGCAAGCAGGGCTCAGCGTCTCCCTGGTGGGTTGCTGTGACTAAGAGCAAAGGCCAGGATGTGAGAAAGGGTGGGTGGATGGTCTCTGGGGGGACCCGGGAGCGAAAGAGGCTCTCCCAACTGCTGTCTGGGCCCTGATGGCTCTCCCCGTACGCCCAGAACGCCTTCTGGTTCAGCCTGGGCTGGTGCACCGTCTTCCTGCTGCCCAGCATCATCCTGGCCGTCAGACTCGCCAAGTTTTACCGCCGCATGGACATTGCTGATGTCTACAGGTGAGGAGCTGCTCGCCCCCTGTAACCACGCTGGGTCTGGGGTCCCCCCCGCACACTGCAAACCACCCCTTTGTGTGCCCCACAGCAGCCTGTGGGGCTGATCCTACAGTAACGTGGGCTGGGGGGCACCAGGGAGGTGGCTTGGGACTTTTTAGCCTCCAAGAATTGAGATATTTTGGAGAAAAGCCTGGCTCTGCCTGCTCTGCAACCCTGCCTTGGGCAGCTGAAGGTGTATGCGACCCCCCTCGGAGGAAGGAGCCCGGCTTGCCCGGCAGCGCTGCAGCCCCCAGCCTGGCTCGGGGGTCCGCCACCTCACTTGTTCTGCTTTGCGCCATTTTTTGTGCACCGCACAGCTGGATGCCGTGCAGAACGCGACACGCTGCACCGTTGGCGGCGTTGCCACGAGGGTGCAGTGCTCGCTCGCACACCCATGGCCGCCGGCACCCCAGGGCTGCTCCCCATCCCTCGAGGCCCTTTCCGCATCCCTCCGGGGACCACTGGCAGCCCCACTGCCAGCGCAGCCGTGACCCCTGAGAGTAGTGAGCGGTTTCCAGTTGGATTTCCAAAACTGCTGAGGGTGATGGCTTGGCCCTGTGGTGTGGACAGTCTGGTGGGGGTTCCCCTGCTCCAGCCCCCCGCTGCCACCCCACTGCCACCCCATTGCTCCGGGGTTGCTGCTGCCTGGGGGAGCCGGGGTTTGCAGCACCCCTGTGCCCATCGCGGCCCCAGCCAGCCTTCCTCCCCCTGCCTGCCCCACTCTTCCTCGCTCCGTGCCCCGGCTCTCCCGGGATCTGTGCTGGGCTTGTACGTGGTGTGTGCGGGATGTGGCACTGAGCCGGGCTGTGCCCTGCCCGCAGTGTGCCCAGGATCCCCAGTGGTGGCCCCGGCGCCTTTCACTTCCCCCTGCAGCCGGCGGCTCTGATGGCTGGAGACGAGGGCTCAGCTGCCGGGAAAAATTGGGGGAACTCAAATCGTGGCATGGGGGAGCTGTGTGCCACTGAGCCGGGGAGCGTGGGGACCAGCACTGCCTGCCCCGGGGAAGGAGCAGTGATGCTCTGGGGGCAGCAATGTTTGGGGGGGCTGTAGGAGCCTGTGCTCTGTGTCCAGATGGGGCAGCTAGGATGGAGGGGACTACAGCCTCCTGTGTCCTCTTTGTGTGCCCCGGGGGAGACTGGGCTGTCCCAGGAGTCATCTTGTTGCCCCACTGACACCGTCATCTCTTTCTTCTCCCCTCCAGGAATGAAGTCTTGGAGATGTAAGTAGTAGTGCCAGGTCCCTCCGTGGGGTGGTGGGGCAGCTCCTGTGGCATGTGGGGGGACAGGGCACAGAGGGAGGGGGGCGAGGAGGGGAACAGGGCAAGTGCAGGCCAAGGAGGGTGCTGGTACCAGGGGAGGACTGGAAAAGTGGGACCTGTGCAGCACAGACTGTTCTGGGGTCCCTCCATCATCTTCCCACACTCTTAAGTTTGGGGGTGCTGCTGCTCCCAGCCTCCCCCAAGCTGGTGGTGTGTGTGTGGGGTCTCCATACCTTCTTTCCTGTGGAGCTGGGTGATGGGGGTGGGATGATGTTTGGCCATCCCAGCGCATCCTGGACTGGCCCTTGCTCCCCTCTGTGGCTGGGGGTGACAAAGGTGACCTTGGTTTTGCAGGCCACCCGCATTCAACTTCTACAAAATCCCCCGGCCATCCACGAGGCATTAGCCCCCGTTGCCCACAGCATGGACACGGGGGAGACGGACATGGCTGCTCCGTCTGCTGAGCCTTCTCCCTGGATGCTGAGGAGCAGGTTGGGACCTCCCGGCTGAAACCCCCTCCCCAATTCCCATTATGTGATAATGCCCTGGTGTGTGCGTGGGGGCTGCCCCTTGCACTGCCCCAGGTGGGACTTCACACCCTCCCACACATCAGACCCCACGGGCTCAGGGCAGCTTGTGCTGCCGGCCAGCAGGAACCTGCTCACCCAGGCCCCTCGCTTGAAAAATGCGACTATTTATTTTCACAGGGAGCCTGACTCTTTCCGAGGCTGTGATTTTTGGTGTCAAATAATAAATGGGGTGTTTGTGTGCACTGCAGGCATACGGCTGTGCTCCTCATGTCCGGCCGTGATGGAAGGCTGCAGGGGTAGGGGCAGGGAGGGTTTCCCACCGCTGGCATAAGCTGGGGCTGTGCCTGGGTCTAGAGGGCTCTTGCTGGGGTCCCCAGGCGTGCTCTGCCCACAGCCAGCTCTTGGGAGTCCTGACCCAGCCCATTGGTCGATGCAGGACCACTGCTCAGCATCACCAGGGCTGGGTGATGGTCCTCTCTCCAGGCAGCCCTTTGCACCTGTGGCTGGATGGGCGTCAGGTCCTTCCCTGGGAAAAGCCATGCCAAAAGCCTCCTGTCCATGAGGTGCCCTCCGGTGACCCTGCTATGTGTCATCTGTGGGTTTCCAGTTAGTTTATAGGATGCCTAGAGCCCGCATCTCCCTCCCTCTACTGGATATGGTGGCACGGGGACTTTCAGTGTCCACCCCTTGCATGTCCCACACTGCTGCGTGGCACAGATGGGCACGGTGAGAGCTGCATGCACAGATAAGCCAAGGGCAACTTGGTCTGCAGCTGTGGTGGGGTGAATGGAGGTGTTGCTTTGTGCTGCTCCTTGGCACAAGCAGAGGGACCCATCCCACAAGCTGGGTCAGGCGCAGGGGACGTACGTGAGCCGCTTGACTCATTTCCTCCGTTGCAAATTCCAAGCCTCTCTGGAGCGAGCGACGGGGCCGAGCTGGCCAGCTCGCCCTCTGCTATGTGCATCTGCTTTATTGCTTTTTCCATTTGCCTTCAGATCTTCTAATCACTCTTTTTTCCTTCAGGCGTTATCTGAAGCTGCACCGGCCTTACCTCCTGCTATCTCCTCCCAGCACCCGTCCTGACTGCAGAGAGCCCAGTGCTTTCCTATCACCCAGCTGAATCTGTCCCCTGTGGTGGCTCAGCCCCTGCTCCCCCCAGGGATGCCCACCCTTTCTGGTCCTCGGGGCGGGATTTCCCGGCACCCCCTTGGAGATCATTTATTAGCTGTTTTGTCTACACTTGCTCTGCCTTTGCTTTCCCCCACCCTAAACCATCGACCTACCGCGTTGTGACCGTTTTGTGCTTGTCTAGGGGCCATGTGTGGAGGTTTCCATCCCCAAGCCCCAGGCTGTCCCCACCGCACAGTGTTCCCCGCTTCCTCTTCCCTTGCTGTGCCTCGGGGACACCAGCCCGCGCCGGGCTGCTGCTGCCTTCAGCTTCCGCTCGCTGGCTTTGCGGGCAGCGCTCCTTCCCTACTCCCCTCTCTGCTCAGCCTCCAGCTGCAGCCTTTTCCTCTCCGCAGAGCTACCGCTGGAAGGCAGAGAGCTTGGCCCTCCTTGTTCACGTCCTCACCGTGGCCACCTGCATCCAAGCCCAGCCCTGGCAATGAAAATCCACCCCACCCCACCCCCCCCCCAATTACTGCACAGCCTTTGCTAAGGTGTGGGGCTTGCTCTCAGCAGCTCCCCAGTCAGTGCTGCCCCAGGGCAGCATCCCGGTCCCCGGAGCCATGGCTGTGAGTGGGGCCTCGGTCCATCCTCCTCCTCTTGAGCAGCCCTGGGAGGCAGGTGAGAGCAGCGTCAGATGGGACACAGCTAAAGTGCCCCACAGTTTCAGCACAAGGTCCACCATAAGGAAGGTCTCATCGATAGCCGGCCAGCCTCTAGAGAACCGTTGCAGCAGTTCCTCTTCCCCTTTGCCAGACGTTTTTTCCACCACAGGGACTTTCTGCAGCCGAGCCCTTGTCTGGGGGAGGCTCTGCCGCATCTTTACAGTGGTTTGACAAACCACAATCCCTCCAACAGCAGCTCTGCCGCTGCATGCCCAGGGCAGCAGACGCCCACAGGGGCCAGCCTGGTGCTCCCCGTTGCTGGTTTTCCAGCCCAGGAACAAAAAGGCAAGTTGCAGCTCTTGAGAAAAAATTCTCCCTTCCTCAACCTTATCTTGGGCCCAGCCGCAACTCCCCCAAAAAGAAGCCCAAATGGCCTTTGGGGGTTGCTTGTGGCACCAAGCAGCTGCAGAGAGGATGGGAGCAAAGCCCAGGTAGGTCTCCTTGCTCCCAGCAACTTGTGGGCTTGTCTTTGCCGAACTGTGCACTGTCTGGGATGGCCCTTCTGGGATGGCTACCTGCCTGCTGGTGCAGAGTCCTGCCTCCATGGCTTTGTAGTGGTAAGGGGCCAAGCGCCATGCCAGGAATGGGCTGTCCAGGCAGAGCTGGATCTCCGAGCCCAGCACGTATCAGCAGTGAGCCACGCTGGGCAGTACCACGGTGAGTTGAGCTTGGCCACTTTTCACCAGAAGCAGAACGAAACTGCCCTCCTCCTGAAGGTGTGCATCCTCACAACATCTACCACTGCCCCAGCACTGCTTTCAGAACTTTTTATTTTTAAAAGGAGCCTGTGTTCCACACTTAACCCCACTCGGAAGAGGACAAATGCAGGTGAATCCCCCCCATCCCATCCCTCTGCCAGCCCAGCAAGGCAAGAGACGGCTCCTTCACACCACAGCCCCATATGCAGGGGAAAAGCCACAGCCAGGGTCCCTCTCCCGGAGGAAGGGACCAGGCAGTGAGCACGGGAGACAGGCTGGAACCTGGATCTTCCTGCACGACTGCTCTCAAGTTACACTGACTTTGCAAACAGAAGCACAATATGAGCCAGACAACCCTGACAAAGCCCCTTTGTGTGCTAAGGGCAAAGGTAGAGGAGATGGGAACAGAGGGCCTGAGCGTCCTGCAGCATAATCTAAGCTTCCACAAAGGAAAGGGAGAGGCAGGGCCAGCCCCAAGCTCACGCAGGCTGCTGCCAGCTTCTCAGCTCGGAAGAGTTTGGGTACCGTCTGGGATAGAGAGATAAGGGAATTAGGCTGCTCTCTTCAGCTAAGTAGCTGCAATCAGTCACAGCTACAGGGCTGATCCCAGAGGAATTGCAGTGAGACAGCGTGCGGAGTGCTGCAGCTGCCAGTGCGTCTGCTGGGACCTCCAGTACCACAGGGCTGCGCCACACCGGCATTTAGCATCTGACTGAATCCAAAACAGAAGGACTCGATGACCCCGCTGCAAGAAACATGCCCAGTTTCTCACAGGCAGAGAGCTTGGATGTACCACCCAACCCACTGGGCAGGGAATGGAGGGGGAGAAGACCGTGTGTGTCCCTGCCCACCACTCCACCACCACTTGCTAGAGGATCAGGGAAGTTATAAAGGAGCCAAGCAAACCCAAACCAAAGTGCTTTGAGCAGGGAGCAGTTTTGTAGTCCTGTAGTGCAGCCAGCACTGTCATCTGCAAACGCGCCCGGCATTTGCTCCTCCGCTGGGGCACACGCAATTGCACTTGCTAGAAATAACCAGAAAGCCTGCCCTGGCTTCAGACGAGATCCCCCAACCCCAACCACCCAATGGACTCTTTGAGACACTGTCACAGGGATGCTTCAGAAAGGGGCAGGCTTCCGTACTGCCAGGCAGGGCAGGATTTCCTGGGGCGGATGTTGTAGCCTTCCCCTCCTCATGCACCCAAGGCTTGGGATCCCATTGTGCTTCCCCCCACCCCCCGCCCTCACACTGTGTCACCCTGTACCAGCACCGAGGGGGAGGAAGTCCTTGCCACGGGGGGCTGAGGGGCATTGTCGGCCGTTGCTTTTGAGGGGATCTTGTGCTCTCGGGGTGGGGGGGGAGGGGGGAAGGTGGGGCTCTGCAAAGCATCCGAGTACATCTCATCCTGGACGCAGGGACGCTGCACAACCCTTTGCAGCAGTGGCTTCAGCAAGCCTACAGTCAGCTGGTTCCCCTCGCTGGAGAAGGGCACTGGATCCTCCTGGGAGCAAGGGAGGTGCTGCAGGACCATGGTGATCCAGATAAGGGTCCAGCTCCCGGTGCTGGGCAAACTCTGCCAGCAGCATGGTGAATATCTCCTTGTTGAGCAAGGGGCTGAGCTTGGAGAACTTCTCTGCCACCTCCACCACCCGCTGCCACCGCTTCAGGCAGATGAGAAGGTGCAGAGCTTGCAGCACGGCCTTAGGCCTCTTGCTGCAGAGCAGCAGTTCGAGCTCCATCTCATCATCTGCCTCGCTACGCTTGTTCTTCCTGGCCAGTACTCCCAGTGCTCTCTTGTACAGCGGCACCCGGCCTTCTGGGCCCTCCTTGCTGCTGTATGCCCAAGAGATGCTAACGTACTGCTGGGTGAGCTCCACAAAACTGGGCAGCCATTTGGGTTTGTACCTCAGGAAGGAGGCACAGATGAGCTCAAAGAGCGGGACCGCTCCATTCTGACCCACCTCCTCCTGCTGTGGCCCTCCCAGGACCTTCTTCCACACCTCTGGGGTGGCCCTGGCTACCAAGAGGCCATCCCCATTCTGCTGCAGCTGCAGGCAGCTCCTTGTGGCCTTCCAGGCAGCCTTGGGGAAGGAGGCAAAGATGGAGTTCAGGTAGGCCAAGTTGTCCTTGTCCATGTCAGAGTGCAGAACGCGGCTGACCTCCTGCTCCACCAGTTCCTCGCAGCAGCTTTCCACTTCACTCTCTGGGGCACACACCACACAGGTCTTGAGGAGCTCCAAGCTCATGTAGCTCTGCAGCTCCAGGCTCATTGTGCTCAACAGCTTGGCATAAGTGTCCTGGAGGCCTCGGGCTGGCTTCTGCTTCTGGCAGAGGCTGTGCTGCAGGATGGCAGCGAGGGCCACAGGAGCCTGGAACACACCACCTTTCTTCAACTTCTCCACTGTCAGCTTGGAACTGCTGAGGCTCCTCCTTTGGTAGTATCTGCAGGCCTCCTCAAACACCATCTCCACCAGGCATGGCTCCGGTCTGCTGCTGTCTTCAGGTTTGGAAAAGCTAAAGCTGTAGATGCCAGTCTGAGTGAGGAGCTGGATGCTGTCCTCCTCTCCCGGGGACTCCAGGAAATGCACCTCTTTCATGCTCAGGATTTTCTTTTCTATGAGCCTTCCACTGTTCTGGTCGATGAGGTAAAGGACCCCAGCCAGCACGCAGGCCAGGATGCTGCCAAAGGTCTTCAGCTGGACAGGACTTCCTTGGGCCAGGGCCCCCGCCTCCAGGTCAAAGATATGCCTCTGTGTCCCATCTGGCTCCAGCATGTTCACAGCACCCTTTGTGCTCACCAGCAGCAGACCCCCACTGTTGGACACAGCGGAGGTGTGAATGTCCAGAGGTGCCAAACATGAGAGAAGACCCACAGAACCAAGCAGGAGCTTCCTGAAGTCTGACTCATTGCTGGAGCGCAGCACTTTTCTGTGGACAAAGCCTGCAGAGGGGGCTGTGATGGTGAGCTTTGCCTTCTCAGGATGCCAGATGAGGAGGAATTTGGACGTGGTGGCAAAGCTGGCAGTGGCAGGCACCAGGAAGATGTGTTGGGGGGAGGCCAGAACCTGATACTCAGGGCTGTTGTGCAGGACTATCCTTAGGGTGCCCAGCCGCACGCCTTGCTCCCCCACCTCCAGAGCCCGGGTGCAGACACAGAACCTGAAGGCACACTTGCTCATGTCCGAGTGGGCATCCAGGGGAGGCCTCTCCTCACACCACACCAGGCTGGCTCCCTGGCTGCACACGGACACGATTCGTGCCCGGGCACCCTGGCAGAGCTCCAATGTCTGCAGCAGCTGCCAGCCCACGGCCACCACGAAGTGCCAGACCTCAGTCCGGCCATGTTCCCACACAAGGGCCAGTGCCGAGGAGCCTAATGTCACAGGGCTCTGCAGGAAGAGCAGTCCCACAAGAGCTGTCTGGGGCTGCTGCCAGTTCCTCTCCAGGTCGGCTCCACTGATGCCGTGGCGCTGGAAGGCCACTACCTGGGGCAGAGGGGGTGGCAGCCCCTTCTGCAGGACCAAAAGGTGCTGAAACTAGAGAGAGTCATCTAGGACTGCTCCCAGTCCTCAGCTTGCCATCTACCTCAACCGTGGCAAAACTACATCACCTCACAACCAGCTGGCTATAGTTATCTGTACCATGCATTGCTGCCTATCTTTGCATCTCAGAAATTAATCCAGATAGGGCCTTCTGGATCCTGTTTATAATCCTTACTGGTAAAAGTCATATTCCTGCCTTCAGGGTATCTGCTGGAAATTCCCACAGAGACATAACTTAGAAGACCTATTCTAAGGACACCCAAGTACCCTTTAGAACTGTTTTTGAGATTGCTGTATTGTTCCAAATCCCTAGCTAATAGAGGCAATAAAGCACGTTGTAGTGCCTGAAATGAGTTCAGGTCTTATCAGACACAAAGGTTTGCTGTTCATCCGAAGGAAGTGTGTCTCAGCATTCATTCTTGGGAAAACAAGTGATTCTGTGAGCACAGGTGGTGGTTTCCTTAGTAAGTTGTTTCAGTTTCACAGACTTGTTGTGAGGAAGAAACCCTGAGCAAAGGAAGATGGCTAGGGTACAGCCTGATGAGCAAAAGGAATAAAATGGAGCTTTGAGTATAGGTATTTAGAAGGACAGAAGATACTTCAAGCAGTGCGGGAAGTATGATCCATTAGGTGGTCACCATGCAGCTCCAATATCAAAAAATGATTACTTAAAAATCTAAACCAGTGAAACTATTGCTATTCATAATTCTTTTCTATTTTATAAAGAAGCTCAATATTGTTTTGTTCTTTAATGCCAGACTGTTTTTCAGCAGACTACAGTTCTCGTCAAGAAAAGGAAAATAAGAAAGGTCTAATTTTAAGCTCTCACACATCATAAGCCCCATTATATTGTTGTTCTAGAGGGGCCTCAAAATTCCTGATACTTAACCCTTTACACAAACAGTCTTCCTGTCTCCCCCAAGCCGTACCCCCATGCAACACCTGGGCAGAAAACCAAACACATCAGACCAATAGAAGACTGTACTGTATCCTTCCTTCCGCTAACTCAGGGTTTATGATTGCAGAGCTCGTCTCCCCTTCTGTAACTGAAGGACCATGTGAGAGAGAGAAAACGACTGATTCCTGTCAAAGACCAGCACATGGAGAAGCCTCATTGTAGGTACTTTAATGGGTAGGGTTTGTTCTGTTTGTTTGGGATTTTTTCCCAAGGCAGCTTAACTGTGTTATTAAAGGAGAAAAATGCTCTGAGAGTAGATTTGTCAAAAGCCCAATGTTATAGAAATATTATATATTGATAGACATATTGATATATATGTGTTGGGTTTATGATTTTTATTTCCTTATTGTTAAGTTTTATTGTGGTTGAGTAACAGTCAAACTAGTGCACTTTTTCCATAAAATAATACGAGTTTTCTACTTGCCTGGGCCAGTTCTAATTCTCTTCTCAGTGTGGGGGATGTAGAAATTAATCACTGAATGCTTCCAGTTTTAAATGGCACACTGCTGAGATCAAAGTGACTTGAGTTTTTCCTGGTATGCTGGTAGCGGGCTGGGGTTGCCCTTTGGTTCGGCTGCTTGTGGGCCACAGCGTCAGCTGGCTGCTGAAGTGGTTTGGCTGCAAGAAAAGAATGAGCAGGACATACTCTTTTTATCGGTGATCATTCTAATTATCTGGTTTAACCCTCAGTCTTATAGGCACTTGTATCGGCACAGCAAAGGAGAGCGGTAAACAGTGGTAAAGGGAGTAGGAACTCATTACTTTTATTATGCTGAAGGCAGTGGTGGCTTGCTACATAAGCAAGCTTGCAGCCTCAGCTGGAACCCTGTTGCGTATGTCGCCGTAAGAAAGTTTGCTCTTAAGCAGAGACTGCGATCTGAATATATGATGAGAGCCAATTCGGGCTGAGCAGGTGGGTGGAATATGCAAAGCAATAAGATAATTTGGATCATTGCGATACGCGGTGATTGCAGTTCACCAGCTGTTTGAGCTCTAGTAGGAAGTGTGACAAAAATTTTTAAGAGGAATTTCACAGGGGGGGGAAAAGGATGTCAGTTTGCTTTTCCAATAATAATAGCGTAATCCTCTGTCTGTGTCACTTAGGGCACGTTTTGCTGTGTGCAAAGAGACTCTGCAGGCGGGGTATATACAACGCAAAAACATTAAACAGTTATTGGCTAGCATGCACAAAAGAAACAGTGAGGCTTTAATGAGCTGCTAGGCTGGGCATTCATCTGCTCACCACCCCTGCTAACACAACATGCAGCTGCCCAGACATCCCTCAGGAGGGGAAGGGTCAGCCTCTGCTGCTCAAAGTTGCTGAGTTGCTATATTTTGGCTCCCCGTTGTTGTTTTTTTTTTTTTTTAAATTGATTTTTTTTGTTTGTTTGATTGTTGTTTTTTTTTCTGCTTAGGATCTTATACCTTTTTATGTTTGTGTTTTTCCTCCTGGGTGCTTGCGCTACTAATGGTCCATATCTCAAAAATGTTACCTCTCTGCAACTCTACATTTCTTATCTTGGCGTGGCTCTACTGTGCAGCTTTTTAGAACACAGCAGCTTCCTCAGAAGTTGGAGCCAAGGTCATGCAGCTGCGCTGTATTCAGCATAGGTCTTGGATCCACACCGACAGCTGAAGCTCTGGGAAAAGGGCAGGGGAAGGTTACAAGGGAGAGTGTTTTTCTTCAGAAGGAAGACATCTGAAAAGGTCTCTGAATGGCATGAGCTTTTAGGTGGGAGTGTAGAGACAGTGCGGCATATTTCATGGTAAACTAGGTGGGATGGATTCTGAAGGGCTTGAAAAGTGAAAACGCAGAGAGACTGACACGAGAGAGCTGGGCATTGTACCCAGGAACACAGAAAGGAAGCGTGATGAAACGAAAAAATTAATTTGGAAAACCGGTGTGAACAGATGGAGGTGGAAGCATGTGACGCTTATCTAGATGGACTTGACAGGAAGAAGCTTAACTAGTTGGTGGTGTGAAGTTGATGGATTGGGTGTTGTTTTAACTGGACGGATAGAAATGAAAGACAATTATGGATGAAGTGTTAAAAATGTAGCTTGGATGTTATTCTTTTATATCATTGCTAAAGCAGGTGTACTGGGAGGCATTCTGTGGCTGTATCTGCATGAGCAAGCTGCTTCTCCTGTTTTTCAAGGGGGGGGGAAATAGGTCAGTAGTGGTGTGGCTTTAGATTGTACTGCATAGAAGCACATACACTGCTACTGCTCTGAGCAGGATGGAGGGACTTACTAGTGAAAATGCATATGCTGGGAATGTGCTGGAGATTATGGTGCTCGGTACTGCAGAAGAAGAAGTAGGATCTCTGTGGGTTTTTGTCATCAGCACATCCTCAAGTATATTTCTCGTTATATGATGCAGGAAGGCACCTGGAAATTCTGCCAGATTGATCCAAGACTTGTGTGCTGCAAGTGTTACTGTTTCCCTTGTTGGTGGGTTGAGCACCTTACAGTTGTAAAGGAAGGTACAGTCTGGGCAGTTTTCACTCTAGCGGACAATATACAAATAAGGTTGTAAAGAATGGGGGAAATATAAAAGCAGTGTGGACCTACTGGCATGAACCGTAACCACCAGTGCAAGAGTTGCAGAACATAATTGGCAGAACATAAACTGCAAAAGGGCTTCTAGCAGGAATTTGATCATGATGATTGGTAAAGCTTTGACAAAATCTAGCCCAGCGTGTTCCTCCTCTCTCTGTTTTCACTAGTGGTCTGCCAGGCTGCTGCTGGGTGGCCCTGGAGGTTTTACTACTGGAGCTTGAACTGGGTCAAGGCACTATTTGTGCACTGGGATTCATAAACTCTTGTGCTGGGTGCAGATTGTCTATTGCTTCCTGTGATGGATGAGTGCTGGAACATGTGTTTTAACTGCGCGTTGCTCAGGTCCAATATTGACTCTGCAGATTCATCACGTGGATTAAGTGCAAGCTTTTCCGGGACCTTCACTGAAGATTTCAATGTCTGCTTGGCTTATAGCCCATTGCTTTAGAAGCTTTAGGTTAACTTTTAGGCAGGGGTTTATCCCCCTCTGTTGCATGATTGAGATGATTTTTGAACAGCTTTTCTTTAGACTTGAGTGACATACCTGCAGAATACCTCGAAAGGCAAAGTGTGATCGCACTGGGTCCCCAGGGCGTGCAGTTGGTGGTGGGGGCAGTTACTAGCCTTGCAATATTGAAACAAGTGAGTCAAATCTTAGTAGCAGTGGCAAGTCAAGGGATATTGGATTCTAAAAGGAAAAGTATTTCAGTTCTTATTCAGAGTCTTTATAAATATTGATTGAGGTCCAGGGCTTTGGCATTAACAAACTAATATAGATCACATCATTTGCATGGCCTTTTTCAGATAGGGAATAAATGCTTTGCTAAGTAAGTCAATATGTGAAAATACCATTTTATGTCATCTGTTTGTTTTCTTTTTATTTAGCCAAGAACTGTTACAGTGTATTTGAGGGGTCCACACTGAAAAAAAAATAAATAGACATGTTCATGTTTGGTTGTACGTGGGGGTTGGGTGTATGCATCTGTAATCTTGAAAACTTTCAGGTTTGTTAACCTAGGCAATTAAATGCAAAACAGTACTTGATGGGCTGCATGCAAGATTACAGAAGTTACAAGCCTTGGATCCTGACGTCATTATAGTGTAGCTGTGCATTAGTGTTATGTTCTGTACAGTAGTGTTTTTGCTATTATAAGACGATCTATAGAATAATAAGTCTGTACAGGAGCTGAGAGGCATCGTGGAGCAGCCACGGTTTTCAATGTGCACAAGTCTGAGTAAACCTTAGACTCAAAATGTCAGGTTCATTTTCCCTGTGGATATTCTAATGAAAAGCTAACAGAGATGTGTTCATCTGAATGTCACATGTTTGGTTGGAATCTCTGCTATGAGTTCTGGAATGAAGTGGAAAGGAGGTGGATGTGCTCATCCCTTTCTTCCCGACTGGATCAGCTGACCCCGGGGTTGATGATAGATAAAGCAAGAGTCTGCCTGAACTTCTGTCTGCCATGGCTTTTATCTTCCTGCCTTTGAGCTGCCAAGACTCGTGCTCTGTCGAGGTTTCTTTTAGTTCCAGATGAAGCATCTTGGATCTTCTGCTGCATAGCAAAGTACTCGCTGTTCTAAAAATCCACATGCGTGTGCTGCTCTTGGCCCTGAGGGGTAGTTCTCCTGTGCAGTCAGTGACTACAGGCAAGATTCACTTAGCAGCATGTGTTAATGGCACCGACCTATTGACAGAATAAATTATCCATTTGAACCTAAAATGTGGAAGATGCACTGATGCTTTTTAAATGTGATGCGTTTAAAGGATAATTGTTAACTTTATTCATTGTCGTAGTTTTCCTAAGCTGTCACCACGTCCTGATAATTTGACACCTCTACAACTTATTTATAAATGTTTTGTGCCTTTAACTGTTGTTTTCTGCAGCTGCCTAGAAGGTCCCCATTAGCAAACTGCAGTTTCCTGTTTCTGTCTTTATGACATCTAGAAAATGTAATTGCATAAAGTGAAAAGAAAAAGCCATTTGTACATCATAGGTCATGAAACAAGCACAGCCTAATGAAGCGTTGGCATGAAAGGCGACTTTTACTTTTCTCCCCTTGCTCCTCCATACGCTCATTTGTAGAATAACAAATTATAAACAAGAACATTATTTAATCCTTGCCCCTAGCAGTCTTCTTTGTGTGTGCTCTGTGCAGCTTTGGTTGAGAGAATATGAATCCCAAATCCCATTTTGACAGAGACTAGAATTTTCACATGATCATGCGATCTCTGATGCTCGCCCCACATCAAGCCACATTTGTGTCTTGTGGGATTTAGATTTTTCTGTCTTTCTGGAAATGTAGGAAAAGTGCTAAAACGCAGCTTTCGAAGTTCAGGGACTAAGCAGAGCGTATTGATCCCCTCCCATTCACGTATACATTTGATGTGAGAACGCTGACCTAGAAGCACTGAGAGTTGGTTTATTAGTTTTGACGTTGGGATTCATTAGCCGTAATTCAATTAGAAGCACACTGATGGATGTGTTTGTGTGCTGGGGCTGGCGGCTGCTTTAGGTTCAGAAACTTACAATTCTAGTTGGGAAATTGTTTTGTGCAATCTTGGTTAAGATTTGTATTGCTAGGCTAAAAGTGACATCGTTCTTGATTTGGTTTTTAATAGATTTCTCTCTGTTTCCAATTATGTTTCTAATTAGAATAATGTCTTATTTCCCATGACAGTTTAAAAATAATGCAAAGTCTGTAAAAGAGAAGCTATCAAGATGATTGAATAATGTTTTCTTTTTCATTTGTTAGACTGAAACCTTTTTCCATTTTAATTGGATATATAGACCTACTAGGCTACAGGAATAATTTACAGGAGGTTGAGAGGCAGTAGTTGCTGAGCTTGGGCCTGTTTCCATTCTCACCCCAGCACGCACATCAGCCCTTAACCAGCAGGCTGTGCAAATTCCCTTCCTAGTGGGAAGAGAGAAGACCTCTCCCCCTTTTTATATAAATCTCAGCTTATCAGGTGTGAGATCTGCTGCTCTCTGTCCTACCCTCTGCTTCCCCACCCAGGCAAGTCTCCTGCCTTTCACACCTGGGGCAGGGTCTTCTGCAGCAGCAGTGTTTCTCCAGCCTCAAAGATGTTTTCCTGCTGTTTGGAACTGAGATTTATGGCTCAAGGGATGGATGTCTGAATAACCTCCTCTGGGAGCCTGAGAGCCCTACTTGAGAACATAGTTGTAGTCTAAGACAATCAAAAGCTGTCTGCGGTGGAAAGAATGCAGAAGAGATCTGGAACTGGCATTCAGTAGTTGCTGGAACCTGTTCTTTGAGGGAAAGACAGATGCGAACGTACTGTGGTTGTGGAAGGGGTTCAGGCAGCCTGAGGTGGAGGCTAAATCCAAAGCTGTGTCTGTGGCTGCCAGCTCAGAAAGCTCTGGGGTCTGAGATGCTGACTGCGGTGAACTTACCTCTCTGTGCATAATTTACCATGGCTGAGTGCAGCTGCCACAAGAGCCTGCCCATGTGTTTCTGGAGCGTGACTTAAGTCAAGCCTCTGCCTGAGGTATGCTGCTGCTGTGTGCGTAATTACCTTTGGAGGTATGGGAGAAAGGTTGGGAGCTTAGGGATGAGAGAGAAGGGATGGCATTCCCTTTCGACAAAGTACCTCTGACAGTGCTGTTGCGATAGAGGAGGTTAGAAGAGTGCTAAAGCTGTGATTCTTGCCAGAAAAATCTGTGATTGCAGATAAATACGTATTTGCAAGGTCAGAGTGGTGATGTGCTTTGTAGCATCAGACATGAGGTTGAGAATACATGGCAAGTCATGCGTTCTGACTCTCAGCCCCTGCAATGGGTTGACTGTCACAGAAGGTTCAGGACTACAGCTACGGCTGTTACTTTTTGTAACAGTTCATTTTGTAATAATGATACTTTCTTTTTTTTCTTAATAGGATAACCAGTAAGCATGAGGCACCAATTAATTATAGTAAAACCTGTTTGTGTTTCTAGAAAATTTGCTGTCAAATAGATCAGGAAATTCATGTGCTTTAAAAAAAAAAAAAAAAAAAATCCCTGCAAAGTTGCTCCCCTTTGTTCTTCCATCCTCCTCCCAAAACTGAACCACATGTGATGCTTTTCAGACTGGGGTTCTTTTCTGGCTTGATTTGCAGAGCAGCTGGCACAGCTGAGGGATGCCAAGGTGCAGAGGTAGGGATGAGCGAGGGTGGCAGGAGTGCTTTGGGGAGGCTTCGCAGCCAAATGTTTCCTAGTGTTGGATGTCGCCTCAGAGTGCAAAAGCGGAATTTGAAGTGCTTCGGAAGGCAGCTAATTAAACAGATAAGACTTTTTCAAACATTTTCAGGTGCTTTTTGTCACAAGATGTCCTTGAGGCTTGACCAGCATCAAAAAGGACTGAGTATCCATTTGATAACAAGTATCACAGTTCATGCAATGAGATTAAAAAATGCATACTTTTCTAGATGTAAACTGCATTGGTCTGGATTATGAGACAGTTTCTAGCAGGGAAGAATTAAGAAAAATTATCCATAAGAAGCTTATTCTCTACATGGCTGTGCCTGGACTTTTTCATCTTTCTTTGAAATGGGATATTGGACTAGATAGGACCTTTGATCTGATTTCTTATCTGGTATAGTTATTAAAACCCCTACTTTCAGCTTGTGAGAGACTATTAGTATTTCAGTGCAGTGAAAAAGTCTTTCATGGTTGAGGCAGGCCAGATATGCCTTGAAGAAAAGTTCAAGTTCCCTTTGCCTTTTCTGTCTCTTCTTACCTTCAGGGTATACAGCATGGCCCAAACAGAGAAGAAAGGTGGGCTGCTCCGGAAATCTTCAGCCTCCAAGAAGCCGTTGAAGGAGAAAGTTGTGTTGATGTATGATGAGATTTTCACGGTAAGGACTCGAGCATATCTTCTTTCTGAAGTGTTGAGTTAAAACACATGGTATGCTCTGCATGGTGGATCCTTTTCCTGAGGTAAGGACTGCACAGTGTAGGCACGCGCTTCAGGCTCTCCTACTGTCATGCAGGGCTCTGTACTCTGCTCTCTTTCTTAATGTCACAGTGTCCCGTTGTCTACCAGGACCATTTGTGATCTATGGGAAGTCACAGCTTTTCAAGTATTTCTTAAAAAATAATCCAGAAAATATACAGAGGTGTCCCAACTGAGAGCTGCTTCTGTTTGTCCTTCAGTTTCTGGGAATCTGTGTAGACAGAATTCTATACTCTGAGACCACTTGGTCATCCAGTGTGATGATGCTGACTCTGAGCTACTCAGGATAATTTTTTTTTTTGTTTAAATTCTGCCTGATTGATTTTTTTATTGTTTGCTCTCATGGCCGTTCCTTTTCCTTTCAGACAGAGGACCCCAGTAAATGCAACCCTAGGTTTTGGGAGGAGCTGTTTCTCATGAAGGTAACAGGAGTTAAACATCCTCTGACTTACTGCTGCTGTTCTGCCTATGAAGTGGCAGACTGCCAGTGCAAGGACTTGCTTTTCGAAGGTGTCAGTGGTTGTATAATATGCGTGAACTACTTCTTAACCTGACAGGTCAACTTGGAATATCTAGAAGGCAAGCTGGAGGCGCTGGATGGGGAAGAGTTAATGAAGATAAAAGATAACATCAACTGCTTGTTCCAGCACTGCATACAGGCACTGGGTGAGGAGCACCCAATCAGAGTGGTCAATGCACTACAGGTACCACATGAGAATGTTCTCTTCTGCTTCTGATGAGGCAATATGTTTGCCGCTGGTATCAAACATCTTGTGCTCATTTCTTTAGTTCGGAGGAGAAATGGTGTCTACAAAGCAGTTGCTACTTATTTTCTGTGGAGGTTACAAACATTTATAGTCTCTTTAGTCTTTGAAGAACAATAGTTTGTTTCAGAATTCAAGAGGATCTGGTGATGCAGGATGAAGCGGATGGCAATGGAGGGACAAGAGGGGCTTGTTCACACTGCAGGCTGTCAGTTTGGAGGCTCCAGAGGATTCTGTGTAGCTTTGTCTCCTACTTTCTTCTGTTCTCCTCCATTTCAGCCTCCTTTTTGAATTTCCATGTGGGTCAAAAATGAAATAAAGCTCTGGAGAAGTTAGTGTGAAATTTGTACAGGAGATTGTCCCTGCTGGACACTTTCTGATTGGAAACTGTGAAGAATTGTCACCCAGAATTAATAAACGCTTTCCTGCAGCTTGTTCCTTATGAAAGCTGTGTTATCCCATGTCTTCTGCAGGAAACTGCCCTTTTCAGTCTTGATATTTGATGTTATTAGTTCACAGGCTGATTCTTACAGTTTGGTGAATGCATTTGTCCCAGCTTCTCTCAGTTGTAGGAATACAGTATACGAATTTCATGTTGGAGAAGTCACCTGTAAGACATTGGACAGGCAGTAAGATGGGAAAAGTTGATGTAAACCTGAGAAGTTTTACCCCTCTGATGACACACAATCTGCTAATCAGGTCTGCTGATTCCTTGAGCTCTGCTTGTCTCCAGCTTTACATCTTCTGAAACTAGTTACTTCTCACAGGTGAATTTAAGCTGAATTCTGAAACAGCAGTGGTTATCGTCCTGCTCATTCCCCTCTTCACAGACCTGAAAGGTGCCTGGTGATGAAAGTCACCGCAGACATTTCCCTCTGTTGGGGCAAATGAGACATTTGCTGTCCATAAATTTTCCAGAGTGTCTGCTGGAAGCATAGTGTGCAGTGATCTCCAAGAACTCGGTATGAATCAGTAATCCAGTGCCTGCAACAAGAAATGTGAAGAAGGTTGTGTTTAGTGGGAAGGTTCTTAGAGCCCCTGAGGTAGTTAGGGAAAACTTAAGCTGTCTAATAGCCTTGGAGATATTTTTTCCTCTTTTTTTTTTTTTTCCCTTTTTGACAAAGAGACAGTTTATTGGTCAGACTTAGTATAGCAGTGTGGTAACGAAACAGAAATTTGTGCTCTCCATAGTAAAAGCATCTGCTGTATGGGCAGGCATAATGTGATAAATTGTGTTGTATGGATGTGTATTTGGCACGCTTGAAATGAGAAGTTAATCTGGAGAGCGCTAAGGTGTGTCTGTCCATGTACTGGACACTGGTTCTGCCTTGCAGTTTCCTGGTCAATATTTTTGGCTTTAAAGCCACACGGGTTGACATCCTGTCTGGTACAAACTGTATCTGTACAGAAGAAGCAGAAAGATTGCCTTTCTTCAGAGTGCTATAAAATGAAGGGTTGAACAAACAGGAAAAATATGGACAAATACATTCTCTATTTTTTTGAGTTCTCAGCATCCAAGATCCTTCTTAGAAACAACAGAGGTGGAGGAGAGGTCAGACAAAATGTATGGCTTCCAGGCTGGTGGTGTTTGTTTAAATATCTGTGCTTTGCCATTGCTAGGAGAGGGGTTTAGGGTGGGTTTTGCTATTGAGTTGTACGCGTTGCCTTACACCTTACCTCTGATTTTTCCCCTTGCAGACTTTGTGTGCGTTGATTCGGGGTGTCCATCAGAAGAACAAATCCACTTCTGGGTTCGACATCATCAACATGCTTGTGGGTTTTGATAAGGCAGAGCTATGTATGAAGGTGAGGCCCTGGCAATGTAGAGAAACAGTCTGCACAGGAGCCATGTCACAGGGGCAGTGTCTTGCAAAGAAAACAGAAGATTATATTTGTGGAGCTCAGAATTACTTTGTGAATAAAATCTATTGTTATATGTATACAAAAAATCTCTCATACATTTAGAAAAAACTCTTGGAAGATGATCATGATGTTATGCCTGATGTCTCAGTTATTGATTCTGGAATAACATGATTGTGGCTCAGTTATTGATTCTGGAATAACATGGCGTTATATTGGTGCTCTTGTATCTGAATGTCCCAAAAAGCTTTTTATAACAAACATTACAAATAATTTTAAATATTCCTTTTTAATAATGTGTTGTTCTTCTTTAGAATCTGATGGAGAGCTTGGACTCGCTTCTCTGTGCAGAGGGTTCTGAAAGCCTCAAAAGCTTGTGTCTGAAGCTACTTCTCTGCTTGGTGACGGTAAGTAAATACCAGCTCTATAATAATTTAAAGGCTTATATGGGCCACATCTTGAGGGATGGAACTGTCTCAAAACTTGAGCAGAATGCTGCAGTGTGAAGCCTGAGAGGGGAAAAAATTGTGAATGGGAACAAGGGTCAGCCCAGAATATGCATCATTGCTGTAACCATGATGGTGATACAGCCTAGCAGACCGGTTTTGCCTCATGAGATAGGTGCCAACTGGAGCAAAAGGAGGGCGATGCAGGAGGAAGTGTCAATTGGATTCACATTTTTTTTAGGGGAAAAAGATATTTAAGAAGTCTCAGATAGATGGAAAGGGAGCAGAGGAGAGAGGCGTTGAGGGAAGACAGGAAGCATGGAGTAGACAAGACTGGTGAGGATGTGAAGAATGAGGACTTTGGAACAAATGGCCACTCGGCATCTCTTGGAGATGGTCAACTGCAAACTATATTGGCTGTGATAAGAGATAAATGAGTGTTGGGGAGGTCTTCACTGCCCTGTTTGTGATGGAAAAGTCCTCAGTGGAGCATATGGGCCCCGCTTTTTCACACTCTGCCTCCAGTGTAGCAGTCTGCTTCAGCTTCTGATAGCTGTTGTCGTGCAGCTGTGTAAAATATCAATCTGTAGAGGAAAGGGGGAGCTCTTAGTATGTGTGCAATGCTTCTTGTCAGAGAGAGGGGTGGGAGGCAGGACAGATTTCTTTTACTTCATGTCTAGCTCTACTGCTAGTCACACTTTGGCTTGCTGACTAAGTGTGAGATTCTGGATAAATGTGTCCATCTGGTAGTAGAACTCCTCTGTTCCCAGTGTGTGCCAGAGGCAGCTACAGCTTCGGCTCAGATTTCAAAATTTGTGTTTGTACTCAGGTGACAGATAACATTAGCCAGAACACCATCCTGGAGTATGTGATGATTAACAGCATATTTGAAGCTATTTTGCAGGTAAGGGTTCTTCCTTCTACTGCCGGCACTCTTCTTCCATATTGAGAGCTTTCAGTCATATATTTGCTTTTCAGCTTTTTCAGTGCAGCGTATCTGACTGGCACTGTGTGTTGATTCCATTCATAGCTCAGTCATAGATTATTTTTTTTTTAATGCTCTCTCCTCCTTACTCTAGTCTGCTGTTTTTAGTCACTACTGAGTATTTCAAGTATTTTCACTTGAGACATTTGTGCATAGATAGAAGCTGAACAGATTTCTGGGCTAATTTCACAGAGAATTCTTGTATCAGAGGAAATTTTTTTTCAAAAGGCAGTCTGGGTATATTGAGGTTTTCTTCTGCTCCTTGATAAATTATACTTTTTAGAAGTAGAACTGGGCTTGGAGAAACCCAGAAAACTTGCACAGATAATGTTGGTGATACACTGAGATACTGTCCGGTGCTGTTGAGAGATAGATTTGCCCTTTTTGCCCAGAAAACACATGTTCATCCTCTCTGTGATAAATAAGCTTCTCTGTGTGCAGGACTTCTTGGAAGCACTGACACTCCCTCAACCTTAAATGTCCTCTTTCAGTCAGGACATAATTTGCTCTTACGCATACGTTTCATGGCCACGCGCTGTCTGAGAGTCACTGCCAGCTTCCCGAAGCAGGCCCAAACAGAACAGTGTGATTATTTATTCCAGATCCTGTCCAGCCCACTTAGTCGCAGGGAACATGGCTATGATGCTGTTGTCCTTCTTGCCTTGCTGGTCAACTACAGAAAGTACGAGGTAGGTATTCTTTTGGATAACAGAAGCATCCCTTCTCTCTGCTTAATTTATTTACGCT